AAAACCATAGGAAGTTATTCAGAGGGTGTTTGCTCCTAATTATTTTTTAACACAAACACGCATGTGAATACAATAAAAAAAAACATGCCTTTGTTATTAACACTCCCTCCCATCCCCCTACAATTCAAAGGGGAACGGTCTTCCAATGTGCCATGAATAACTGCCAGCCTGCATTATCACAAACTGTAATGTTTACTTTGCATTTTGTATACGCTGCTAGTGTTCATATTATTGGTTATGGTAAAATAATGGTAGCACTTAGTGGGTGCAATTGGTTAATCCGTGCATATGTTTATAGGAAATATTTAGCTCTTTGATATTTTAAGGTTTTATCTCTTTTCGAGCTGCAGAAATAGTTTGGTCTTACCCATTTTGTGAAATTATATCATATTTTGTATCATATTATATCATATCTCTCCAGTTTTACTTCTCTCCATTGGCTCACTGTCAAATCCAGAATTGAATTCAAAATCTTACTTCTAACCTACAAAGCCCTCAACAACCTAGCTCCATCTTATATTCGAAATCTTATTGTTCCACATTTTACCAACAGAGCACTTCGCTCTCAGATATTATTACTGCAGGCTTACTCACGGTTCCTAGAGTTTCCAAGAGCAGAATGAGAGGAATTCAAAATAGTTCAAGACAAAAACAACTGGACTTTATTTGTAAGAGAAGACGTTTCAGTTCTCATCCGAGAAGCTTTCTCAATTCGAAGAACAGTGAGTGTGGGGTTCAAGTTATAAAGCTAAGGTAAGATACATACAAACATATGCAGATTGACCTATCACACCCCACAGAGGATGGAATGGGAGGAAGATCTTCCAGTTGGGCTCTTCTCTTGTGGAACCAACTTCCAGTTTCTGTGAAGCAGGTGTCCAGTTTTAAAACTGGGCTTAAGACTTTCCTTTTTGATAAATCCTATAATTAGGGCTGGTTTCCTATGCTGCCTTAGGCTTAGATTACTAGAGGACAAATTTACCTCATTTCCTTAAATGAATTGTTAAAGTTTAATAGTTTTCATTTGATACTATTTCTATCTTAACATATGATTATCGACTTGCCATTGTGTATCTGTTCCTTCTTCCTGTCCTCTCAAATCCAGCCGGTCGAAGCAGATGGCCGCTTGTCCTGAGCCTGGTTCTGCTAAAGGTTTCGTCTTCATGAGGGAGTTTTTCCTTTCCACTGTCGCCTTCATGCTTGCTCAAGATGAGAGTTCTGCGATGGAGTTAAACTTAAAGCAGTCTGCTCCTCAGATAAATAATGCTAACTTATATAAATGTTTCTGTTCAGTGCCCTGAGATGACTTCTGTTTGACTTGGCACTATATAAATAAACTGAACTGAATTGAATATGTTGAACTTTCCAGCAGGCAGGAGATAATTAACCTGCAGAATCAGCTGTTGTTCTTGTTAAATCCTTCGTAACTGAAGCGATGATGTGTGATGTTTTCATGAACTTTATTGTTTCTGTTAAAGCAGCTATAGTCAAACTGACAGTCTTTTTTTTCCCCCCAGCTGTCCATAATTATTGCTTCGTTTAATCAACCAGAGTACTAATTTTGACTATTTCTTTTTATTTATTTACCTTTATTTAACAAGGCAAATCCCATTGAGATCACAGATCTCTTTTGCAAGCAAGGCGTGGACCTGAAGGCAGCCTAACATGCAAGGTTTTTGGACTGTTGGAGGAAACCGGAGCACTGAACCTGGAGAAAACCTATGCAAAAGATACCGGGTCCAACACAGGGACTGAACTCAGGGCATTCTTGTTGTGAGACAACAATGCTAACCACCGAGCCATTGTGCTGCTTTTATTACAAATAATCAAAATTAAAAAAGTTCCTCTCCTTCAAACTTTCCAGATTTTTTTTTATTTTTTTTTAATGTTTTGCTGCATTACAACCTTTGTAACGGTAAAGGATGGCATGAACATTACAGACATAACAACAAAAAGACTGAACAGTGGAGCACTGGAAGTCTGTCATAATGCAAGCATTAAAACACTTAAACATGAGTTGACAGCTTGGCCTTTTATTGTTCCCAAATGCTTAACAGTGTTGTAAATAGGAGGTGATGCAACACAATAGTCAACTTGCTGCTGTTCCAAATATGTGTTTCAAAGTGCTCCAGGCATCGAATTCAAAACAAGAAAATATAAAAACAATAAAATAGGAACAATGCATGTCTTTGTTTTTACGTGCTAAATTCACATCATTTCAAACTTTTATATTTCCCAGCACTGCATAAAAGATAGAAATGTTTAAAACTCGTTAAAATCTCACAAGTATGGCACTAAACAAGTCACATATTGGTGTAAATTAAGTGTGTTTTCAATGAACCACTTGATTTGAAGAGTTTTAGCTTTCAGTGTTGAGATCGTTACTTGAAGTTTTTACTGTGAGTAGTAATCTGTGCCCATAAGGCTTTATGAAGAGCACTTTTATTATTCACACTGATTTCTCATCTATTTTCAGGTTTCATTTCATTCTCACATTCTGTCTTCACAGTGAAGAAGCTGTGGGCTTTTTCCCTCAATAAAAGCAGAGAAGATTAACCTCGCATGTAATCAGTTCGTTTTGTGAAAAGGCTGTTGAATCAAGTGTAAACTTATTAATTAATAATAAAAAAAATACGTTTCAAAAGGAAGACCACAATTTTTTGTGGCTTTCATAGAAATGAATGTTAGGTACACTCTCAGATTGTGCATCCTTTATATATTTTTTATGAGCTGAGTGTGCAAAGAGCCCCGTGTACGTGTTTGGTTTCTTTCTGAGGATATATCAGCCTTACAGCTCCGAGCTCCTCTGGTCCTGAATGGGATATGCTGGTTTCTACTTTTTGCTGAACCTGCTATGAGAAAAAATAAGGTTTTAAGGAAGAACCTGTCCTCGGGGTAAACTGCCTGAGCTCTATAGCCTGTAGAATCTCAAATGTTTCAGTGTAAAGATTGTTTTCTGATTAAATAAATGGGATTTCAGATTGCCTGTACTGACTCAAGTTTATTTTTGTTTATACTTTTTCAAAGGAGTTGTATAGAAGATGCCATGATGTCACTAAAGCGGTTTCTGTACACCAGTGGACAGCAGCTACTCTGTTATCGGGGTGTTCATGCAGCTCTTGAGGAATCAGTCAGTGTGAAATAGCAGAATGGTGAAGCCTGCAAATCAAGGCACTTGTAGCAGGTGAAAAATACTAGATGCACATCCTGTTTTATTTATTTATTTTTTACCTTTTTGTTATTTATGACTCATTCTTAATCCAATATTACCTTATTTGAAATGAAAATGTCTGTAAAAAATCTACCTTTTAATACCTGCAACACATATTAAAGTGACCAAGCGGCTGCTCAGCACACTCTATTTGAACTCGTCAGAATGCCTAGACACGCAGCTTTCAATGCTCCTCACATTTTCATCTGGAATAGTTTTATATAAGCCCCCACAGACTTGCTGTACCCACCAGCATGCATGGACAGAAGTGGTGCTTCTTCCACAGGATGCAAACAAACGCTGAAGGGAACGAAGACGCGCAGTGTCAACCAGCCTACAACTGGGATGATGGGAGCGCTGCGAATGTTAGTGAAAGTTCTATTCATGTCTCTCACCGCGTTCTATGATTTCACCATGCACTTGGAACCGGATGCATGGTCTGAGGGTCCGCAGTGACTCTGAACAGGAAGCTCTGGGGTTTCATTCCACAAGTCCCTGCAGCCAGTTGTAATTGGCTTCCACATTTCTCCAAGGATCGCCGCTTTCTCCCTGTTCGTGTTTATAGAAAATATTCAATTGAACCTAAACTACACGTTGCGTTGGCTCTTTGAGTTACACTTGGAGAACTGTCATCACACACTCCGTTTCCACAGTTCCCCCCCGCATTTGGTGAAATAAACACATAATTTTTCACCTTTTATTTAACACATGTAGACAAGTTTTGTACATTCTATTTATGAATGTGTGTAAAGTCACTTTTTTGGGGTAGGGGGGTGGTGTTACAGCATTTGCACTTATACTGGCTGAGCTTGCATGTGCAGTATTGCTTCAGTGGTGTAGTCTACATTTTTTGTACTGGGTATACTGTGCTTAGAAACCAAAGTACACTGGTTAGTGCAACACAATCGTCAATTTATTTTGATTTTTAAGCATATTGAACATTTCCAAAATTCTCTGATGCTTATATTTGAATAAATGAAGAACAAACTTTGTACAACAGTTGGCTTTGTATTAAAAATTTTATGGAATTTATAAAACAGTATCAAAGCAAAGCGCCGATAGATTGTGTTACGGAAGCGTTTAACTGCCGTTTAATGCATCAATGACACATGCCTGATGATATGTCTTGTATCATTGGGCACTTTTAAGTGAGTATACTGAAATTCTTAAGCTTTTCTAGTGGGTATACGCTGTTTACCCGATTATCACGTAGACTACACCACTGGATTGCTTGCAGAAATGTAAAACAGCTTTTAAAAACTGACAAAAGTGCAGTAAAATAAATCATTTTAAACCACTCTTTTATATTATATTTAGCTCATTTTGGCTCAACACTGTCACAACTCACTGTAACATTCATTCAACCTGTATTTACATAGGTAAGTCTCATTGAGTCACTCGATGACTCATTTACAAGAGAGACCTGTTTAACAGACATTACTGAGCTCATAACAGACATGATCATGTATGATTTTAGATGTTTTGATGGTTTCATCTGTCTGTGCTTCCTGAGCTCCTTTCCATACCCACTGTGGGCTTTTTATTTGACGGGTGTGCCACCTGCCGGTGCGTCACAGCTCCTCTGGCCAATCCTGACGCACTGACTCTCCGCGCGTCCTTGGAGATCCCGTGGTGCTCCTCACATCCCCGCCCAACCCACGGCTCGGTACCAGTGTGAGCTTCCAACACCTTGTTAGTTGAGTCCCGTTAGCGCTTGAGATGTGACCGGATTGGACTGCCGCGGAGCTGCCGAGCCGAACATGGAGAAGTTTGACTGGATTGCGTTTCTCCCATCAGACTGAGCTCAATGTGACCGCGCGCGCATCACTGGCTGATATGAGGTAGGAACAAGTCAAAACCTGTTGAAGCAGTCTGCTTGCTCATCTGGGCTCAGAATGGATTCAAAGCGGTTTTAATTTCTGTCGGACAGAGGCGCTTTAAAAAGTTAGATATTAGTGCGCGCGTCTCCAAAGCGAATAATGAAGTGTGGGAAATCAGGTTTTCTTTTAGTGTTTTTTTTTTTTTTGTCTGTTTGATTTAGATTACTTTATTTGACTGCAAGTTTGGCAAACAAGTGCAGCTGCAGTCCTTCTCTGTCTGTCTGGGTTCGCATCTTTACGCAGCGGTTCTGCTGCCTCTCCAAGTCCACATTGCTTATCCAGCCCTCTCCTTCATAAAGTTAATACCCCCCCCCCCCCCCCCCCCCCCAAACAGCTCCTTAAGTTAAAATTATTTACAACAAACTGCCTCTAAACGTTGCCTTATTTCCTAACTCATCACTCGGTGCCACGCGTGAATAATTTATCTCTGCGTAACGGAGCACAAATGAAATTAATCATGTCCCTAAATGGGAAGTGGGAAGTTTTTATGAATTGAACGCTTATTTATGAAAGCCGTAAATGGCAATGCAAAGGAATGTGACTGGGGGGTACTTTGACATTGTGCTGCACAGCGACTGAGAGCGTAGAGGGAATGGCATTTGTGCCAAGTCACAAATGTTTTCCTTTTGCACTCCAGCTATTCATCATCACAGAAGCTAGAGGCTGAATTTGGCATTTCACTTGTATAAACCACAAAGTATTCACTGTGATTGTGAACCTAAAATTTGAATGTGTTGCATATAGCAACTCAACTGTGTTTTTACTCCAATATGTCCTCAGAAGCCCCAGTGAGAATATAGCCTCCAGTTTTATTTATACGATTAGGACTTTTGCACAGCCTCCTGTGTGGAGATAACTGTAGAAAAAGACCCATGATTAAAAACGATGAGAAAGAAAGGTGAGCAGTAGAGCTCTCGTGGGGTGATGTATTGTTTGAGCTCGAGTCAATAATACTTTTTAGGCTTTCTTCTTTTGATAGATCATTTTATTTTGGATGAGGCTGCAGTCGTATCGATCATAGTTATGACTTTCAGAAATGGGCTGTGTGTGGAGGACAGGACGCTGATGGCAGGAAGGTCTGGATGGCTGCGAGCAGGATGAAAATGTCTTTGCTTATACCCTCTGCTGCACGAGTTGTTCTGTGTGGGAGCTGCTTTAGCAGATTGCTCTGACGCTTGTGGCTTCCATGAACTGTAGACTTTATAACATCTTCTTACACTTTAATCATTTGATTTTAAACTAACATATTAGATAAATACCTTTTTTTTTTTACACTTTTCATTGATTTTTATTAAAGCAAATCTTTCAAGCTGTTATACATTTTCGTCATTTTTAACATTCAGACAGTGGTGGGATCTAACAAAGTACAAGTATTTTCTTATTGTACTTAACTACATTTTCCATGTATCTGTGCTTTACTTAAGTAAAGTTAAACATGGGTACTTTTGACTTTTACTCCACTACATTTTACCTTAAGTATCTGTACTTTCTACTACACTATATTTCTACAATGTGTTGCGTTACAAGTTACATTAACGTTGTTTTTTTTATTTATTAGTTAGTTTGAAAGTAACCAATGGTGAGAGGGGAGTTGGTCCATTGAATCACTGCAAAGTGGACAGGTAACATTAGACCCACCTTCAAGAAGAGCTGGACCAATGATGCATATTTTAGTATATACGTCATTGAGCTGGGTGCACCCACAGCACCGCTAACACACCCAAAATGGATTCTACGAGAAGAGTCAGCCAGATGATACACACCACCCATGGCCTTATTGAAAGATTATTGAAAGATCATTGAAAGATTATTGAAAGACTATTCAGTTCAGCAGGACAGATTTTCTCTCCCAAAAGCTCCAGACTGGACTCAAAAAACTTTGAAAACCAACTTCTACTGAACTTGAACAAGAAATTCTTGCCTCATTATTAAAATGTGTCAGTTCATGTTAGGACAGGAGACAAGAGATGTCTCCAAATGTCTCAACACTCTGGTCCAAGTTTTGAAAATGGTGTCAGGAAGTTAAAATATTGTTCACTATTGACCCATTATAAGGTTGACTAGACAGTATTTTAAATAGAGTTGATGACAAACTGGAGTTGAAATGATCAATGTCTGTTCCTTTGTTAGTTGTGTCTAATGCTCCTTTTGTTCAGGCAGACAACTTTTACTTAAACATGTTTACTGCAGTTAAAATGACACATTGGTTTTACTTTGTGTTAAATAAAAACTTTCAAAGGTATAATCATTCCTCGTTCTTATTTTGCTAAATGGCATTAACTCTGCAGGTCATCCCTGAAATTCTGATGCACAGAATCACAAGTCCAAGTGTGAACTGTGTCACAGAGTAAACACAATAAAAACATGTATTATCTACAGCATTGTTCATTAAAATGACTCAACACTATTAATGTATTACAGAAAATATACATTCGGTAGGTACACTTAATGATATTGTAGACATTAGGTTATACATTCAGCAATCACTTTTACTTTTAATACTTTAAGTATTTTTAAAAGCAAGTACTTATTTACTTTTGCTTAAGTAAAAACATTAATGTGGTACTTCTACTTTTACTAGAGTACACTTTCACTTAAGTACAGTGTTTGAGTACTTTCTCCATCGCTGCACTCAGGTAAATATAAGTGCAACAGATGTTTAAGAAAAGTCCTGACACTTATTTCTGTAATAACATAATAAAAAAATTGTAACTGCAACAATCTTTATCATGCAATACTGGAGATAATGTAATATACAGACGAAAGCATCAGCCATCTCTGCTTACTGGAACCAGCACGCTGCATTTAGAGTGGGCAATAGGAGACAGTGATGGCTATTTTACTGGAGTCAGCTGGCCAAACAGACAGGCTAACTCCCCCATTGGGTTTCATTAGAGCTCGTCTTGATGTTAAAGCCTGTTTAATCCACTTTCACAGCCACGCAGAGCACAACACAGCTCGGTGTCTATCTTTAGATGGCACATGGCACAAACTCAAGCTCAATTATTAAAACAAGAGGACAAAACTCCCAGTTGGCCTTTAAATGCCTCATCGGAAGAGGCTCCTGGTGCAAACTTTGTGCCAAAGGTGCTCCGCCAGAACTGAAGGGAGAGGCGTTTTCAGCTTTGGATAGACGGCTGTCAGTCACCGCCCGCTCAATTAACATGTCCATAAACAGCTGTGTTTATGCAGCCCTGCGCTGCCTCTCCTGTCTCCTGCTGTTTCTCCAAGCAGACGTGCAGCCGGAGGGTGCGATTACAGTAAAGCCTTATGGGGTGAGTGCTTTGCCTTTCTGTCTTTGTCTCCACTTTCTGGGCAGCTACTGTTGTTGTCCCACATTCACGGCGCCTGCTTTGCCTCAGAGACTCGGTGCTGGGAAGGCTGAGATGGATTTGGGTTTTCTTCAGAGGAGCAATAATAATAAAGCTCTTAATCTCAATATAACAGATAAAACAGTTTGATCATTATTTTACTGACATGTAATGCACAAAAAACAAACATAAAAATGCTGCTGAATTTTTATTTTCTCTCGTTTTATGATTTTATTATGTGGAGAAATTGCGCCTCGTGGATGCAATTCAGGCTTTTATAGCTAATAAAGCATGCATCTTAAAATGACATTTATCACTACCTGACCTTTACTAGTCGTCTGAACCTTAGCTGGGACAGCTTCTTATTGGTAGCAATAACTAGCGATCACTTCAGGGCTGTTAATAATGCTGCTGTCTGTGTTTACTTTAGGATATTGTACATGTTGAGCAAACAGCAAACCATGCACAAATTAAGAGTCCAAGTGATATAGTTTGAGGGTCAGTTATTGGGAAGGAAATGAAGAAGTGGAGTGGAAGTAAATAGATCTTCATATACAGTATATTTTAGGTGGCTGCATGTTTGGATCTGTCCATTGCAACCAGAAATGTTGCTTTAACCAACAGCCCTCTTTTCTGCAGAAAAGCCTACAGAGTATTGTTCTCAGCTGAAAACTTTGCACAAGTTCTGCTTTATTTAGAGTTATGCCCCATATGTATTTTTTTCTTCACTTTATCTGAATCTATCGCAAGTCTTTGGCTTTCACTCTCGTGCATCATCAGATGCCACAGGTTTTCTCACACCGCGCCAGTCTTTACTGCTCCCTTGACAAAGCAAACACATTTATGCCCAGTACATGACTGTGATGTGTCTGTGTTCTGCCTGTTCTCAGCAAATAAATCAATAACAAGTTCCCCTGTCCCTGGAAATCCACATGGATGGGTTTATAGTTAAAGAAAGCTGTAAACAGAGGGCACAATAAAAACAAGTAACTACTGGTTCACTGGCTATACACTCTAAGAAATAAGATGTTTAATTTACTGCACGTCAACTGGTTCCACTAAACCTGTTTGCTAGAAAAAAAATCCAGTTTGAAACTTTGTTCTCACTATGGTTGGCAGTAAAATAAAACCTGAGTCTTCTAAAAGCAGACAAAGAAAAACAGCTCACATACTGTATATAAAAGGCACCTTGGCTTTATTCAGTGAAAGAAAAAGTTTATTTTAAATGAAAAATTGGAACAAGCTTGCAGTATTTAGTCAATTTAATAACTCTTATTGTTGCTTTAAAACACCAAACGCAAACAAAACTTTACTTTGACTGTTAAAATGAACCAATGGAAAGCTTTCAACTTGACATGAAATATTAATTTATTTCAAACAACACTCAAAATTATTTATTCTAGAGTGTATTTGTATATTGTAGGCAAAACCTTCTTATAAATTACCAACAAGTTTTTACTGGCTTCTTTGCTTTAACATGAAATATGAGAATGATGTTTAGCAGCCTGACATAATCTCAAATTCTCCATAATCAGATATTTGTTGACAGATATCCCGATATATTAATTGTTTAATAGTCAGCGTTTTTACTGCAAAATAAAAATGTTTATGCAGATTAAACCCAAAAGTACATTCGGTTTCCATCTCCAA